TGTTTTCATGAAGTGAGAAACAGAGGGGAAGGAACATTGTTAACTAAGAGCCGAGGTGGCGCAGTGGTTAAATGCAGCACTGCAGGCCACTTCAGCTGACTGCTAGTTCTGCAGCTCGGTGGTTCAAATCTTACCGGCTCACGGTTGGCTCAGCCTTTCATCCTTCTGAGGTGGGTAAAATGAGAACCCGGATTGTTGTTGGGGGCAATATGCCAACTCTGTAAACCGCTTAGAGAGGGCTGAAAGCCCTATGAAGCGGTATATAAGTCTAACTGCTATTGCTATTGCTATAGCTTCCTGCTAATTTTTTTCTTGTATCCCCCTGAGGAGAGCTCAGAACTGTGTGCTTATGCTAGTCTTCCTTTATTTTTTTTGTCAATAAATATAAATTTAACAGCTTCTGCTTGTTTTCCCATCAACTTGTCTTTCTCAAAATTAGCTTTTAAACTTTCTTGGTGAAAGTATTCTTCTGGTTTTCTCACCACTTCCCCCTTTAGTCAGACCTCAAAGCCATCTCCATCTGTAAAAGCTGTAATACTACAACATTGGTCAACACTTTACTCAATTAGTACATGGAAGTTGTGTGAACACGTAAAACAGTAGCTGTAAAAGGAATCTGAGGAGTAAACAGAATCCTGTACTGAAGAAAAATAACACCAAAATAGGACACAGATGTCGCAGTGATTTGATAAAATGTTTTTGTCTAGTCTGAAAAATAACTGTAGCAAATACTTAATGTGTTAAAAGTTGAGAAACTGAAAAGTTATACAAGTTGGTCCTTCCAAATTGGCTAGTAAATTAATACAAAATTCTGAGAATGAATGCTCTGATATGTAAATGTTTATCTACAATAAGAATCCACTGTAATGGAGAAAACCTCACTGATATCATTCAAAAGTAGGTTGGTTTACCCTAATTAGATCTGAGCTATTACTTCAGGCATCTGAAATGGCAGTTAGATAGTAAAGCCCCCATTAAGAGTCTCATCTTGTGGACCAGAAATACTAGAAGAATATTTGAACTCTTTTCACTTTTGTTGGTGTGATTTTGGTCTGAATCAAATGAGGAATGGGAATGGACCAGTTGTAGGGCTTCTACAAGGCCAGCTAGATAATGAGGTTCAGGATGAGTTCAGATCATTTTCTTAAATAAGTCAACTTTAAATTTGTGGATTTCAACTTCCAGAAATCCCCAGCCTTCACTGGAAATTGATCTTCACACCTGTTAAAATGTGTGGGGAAAAAAACTTTTAAAAGGTTTGAAAACAGTAGTTTAGAGCATTCTCCTCAGATGAAACCTATTTTGATGTACTTTTTAAAATCTGACAATAATTGTACCCTCCGATATCATAATAAACAAAAGGAGATACACTAGCAATGCATAAAGCTGAAAATGTTCCAATAAGCAATGAGAAACAAATGTTTACATTTTAAAAGTGTCATGTCTTCAAATCAGAGTAAGTGTGTCAAAATACAACTATCCTTCAAAATGTGCACTTCTTTTATGAATTTGTGTATGGAGGCTGGATCCATGAAAGAAAAGTTTCTTGTGTATCTTCTATGAGAAAGTATTTTGGCTTATACACTTATACACCTTCTGACCTTGGTGTAGCTGTACCACTGATTTTCCAAGATGATGCCTTCATCCCCTACCTCACCTTATGCTAATTCATGAGACTGACAGAATGCCTTACTTCCAAATGCTAGGAAAAAATATGATGAAACTGATAAATTATTTAGAGACTCCTTCTCCTATCTAGAGAAATGAGTCTTCATCTGGAGATAAAACTATCTCACAAGTAATAAATGTTAATTATTTTGTTTTATTGCATTAAGCAATCACATGCAAAACATTTATAGTAATGTTAAAGGAGATAACAACTGAGGAATGCTCAAAACAAGGAAAGTAGGGTAAAGGGATCTCTAGAAAAAACAGGTAAAGGAATATGGGAGGTTCTAAGTGGATTCAAAAAACAGTTTTTTTTATTTACTTTATACGTTTACTAAGTAAATAAAGTGACTCTGGGCAGTGTGCAACCATTAAAATAAAACAAATATATAGAAACAACTATTAAAAAACTGAAATTATTGAAAAAACACAACAATTCAATACAGGACAGAGTAGATTAAACATAGTACTTGAGCCTAAAATATCCCTGCCCCTTTTGACTCCTAGGCCTGATAGCAAAGTCAAATCTTGAGGGATTTACAGAACATTAAAAAGGATGGCACTAATTTTATTTGGGAGGAGTAAGAATGTTCCATAAAGCATAAGCCATGGCAGAGAAGGCCTGCCTCTTGGGACCCAGCAAGTGNTCTTGTAGAAAGTGTGTCAATTGGTTACAATTAGCTTTCGTGCATCTCTGGAACCAGATCCCTTTATTCTTCTCTGTCCCTGTGAATGTCATTGCTTTTCTGTATACAGCAAAGAATAGTGTTTGTGTGACTTTGCTCACTTTTTACTCTGCAGAAGAAGAAAAATTCTGAAGTCTTTTTACACCTTGACTCTCCAACAAAGTTGAAGGAAATAATCCTAGCAGATACCAGGCCACATCAATAACATTATACCTGCTATGCAAACATCAACAGGACACAAACCCACAGAGTGTAGATTTAGCCATTTCTATTGCTACAGCTTGAGAAAATGGATGCATTCAGCCCTGCCACAAACACTACATGAAGAGCATTTCTTGTTTAGCCCTTCCATATACTACAGTTGTCCCTTTCTACATATCTCGGTGTTACATAGAATGAATGATGGGGATTAACCTGTCACTTTTGGTTTTTCAGGCTCTGCTGGAAGCTGTCTACGTAAATTCAGCACAATGCCTTTCCTATTCTGCAACATTAACAATGTCTGCAATTTTGCTTCAAGAAACGATTATTCTTATTGGTTGTCAACTCCTGAGCCCATGCCAATGAGCATGGCTCCTCTAACAGGAGACAGCATCAGGCCTTTCATCAGCAGGTAGGCACCAGAGTCACCTGAGGAATTTCTGGCAGATCCAGGTGTCAAAAAACCTGACCCCCAACTAATATGAACATCAGATTGGCAGATTTTGCATTTCTTCCACTATTGGGACCATCACAAATAGACAGTTCAAAAGCTTCATGTGTTTAAAATTCTTGGACAATATTTGCAGTTGTTGTTGAAGATGGAATTCTATCTCTTGATGAGTGGGAATTCATTTTCCATAAGATGATACTTCCATAAGAAGATCCGTCTTTTATTCCTAAAAAAACCTCCTTGACTTATGACCACTGGCTTTTAAGTGAGTTTTGCCCCATTTTATGATCTTCCTTACCACTGCTGGTAAGTGAATCATTGCAGTTAAGTTAATTATATGGTTGTTAAATGAATCTGGTTTCCCCATTGACTTTGCTTGTCAGAAGGTCGCAAAAGTATTCACATGTTCCTGAGACACGGCAACTGTCATAAATACATGCCAGTTGCTAAGAGTTGGAATTTTGATCATGTGACCACAGGATACTGCAATAATTGTCAGTGTGAAAAACAGCCATAAGTCCCTTTTTAGACCTGTTGTAACTTTGATCATTAAACAAATGGTTGTAAGTAGAGGACTACCTGCATTTATTTGAGGTCATAGCCCTAATAGTCCTTTGGTCTGAAAACTGTCTCTACAGAGGAACAGAACAAACTTTTACCTTGCTCTTTTTCATATGAGAAATTCTATTGAAACTTTATTTGCTTTCCTCCTTTCCCGGAGAATTTTCCTCATTTTTTTTCTTTTGGAAAAATGTTTGTCCATCAAAAATTTCAGGGAGTTGTTACTTTGCCTGCAGTCTGTAGTCTGGACCATTAAGGACAAGCATTCCATTTCTTCTTCACCCTTCTATAACACTTAATTCCTTAAAGAAATGTATAGCTATTTAGATCTAATTTGGCATCACTTTTAAATATTGCAGATGTATTTTTTTCCTTTTATGATAGCTGGTGGATGTTCCATTTTCTGAGGTCAGCTCCTAGTAACAATTACAAAAAATGGCTCATATTTTTTCTGCCCTGTATTTGCAGTATAATGGTTTACAATATTTCTCAAGATGCTTCATATTAAAGATTGTAAACTCATTGGTATACAACTTTCATACTGGATGGATCTGTGCTGTTGATACTAAGATGGGAAAGGATGAGCCAGACTGAACATACTGTGGCAGAGCTGCCCTTGCAATTGCTTGTTTGTAAGACTGGAGGTTCAGCTTTCAGTAGTCAGAAGGCCTAATCTTGTAACTCTTATGTCATCTCCTTCCTAGGTGTGCTGTGTGTGAGGCTCCTTCTATGGTGATAGCAGTCCACAGCCAAACAGTTCAAATCCCACCATGTCCAGAAGGCTGGAACTCTCTGTGGATCGGCTACTCCTTTGTGATGGTAATGGACACTGAGTTCCAGTTCACATCATAAAGCAAAAGCAGCTATGTTGATTTTTTTTTTACAAGAACAAAATTCCAAACTCTATAACAATACTTCCATTAGTTCAGCTGTGGGTTTGCAAAGAACAGCAAGCTCTCTATTTTAAAGAGCTCTTCAATAGGGAAGAAAATCAAGTCATCAAGGAAAATTAAAAGTTAAGGGGTAGGGAAGGCAGGAGGTTGAAATCAAAGAAAGATTGTGGCCAGCATTTCAACCATTTCTGCTCCATCCCAGATTGCAGTTCTTAATTGAATGCTGGAAGGAGAAGAGAGACATTTGCAAATTCTAATGTTCCTGATCTGGAAAGGATTCAGAAACCATTGTGTGGCTCTTTTATATTTATGTCAGTTTTGGAAATGTGCTTAGACCTTTTTTCTTTCTCTTATTGTTGTTTTCTGCAGTTACAGTGATGGCTGAAGAAACATTATTGTTTATGTTGGTTTGAGATAAGGCTGATGTGACAATCCCTGGTGGGAAGGGAAACTGACTAAGCAAAACAAAACATTAATGGAAAAATAACTTTGATAAGGATTTTTCTTTAGGGTAATTAGTAAGGTTTATTCTTACAGCTGTTCTGCTCACTAGCTCTGGGGAGTAAGAGTGGCTTCTTTATCAGACAGAACTACCCTGTTAGTTCCAACAATGTTATTCATGAATTGTCCATCAGAGTCAGAAAAATGAAAATAGTTTTGACATTAACATCTGGATGTTATATTTCCAAATATGAGGACCAATTATAATTTGAACTTCTGTATCTTATAATAAGCTTTGAAAGCATTTGTGTTCTCTGACTTCAGAACCTAAAGCAAGGTACTGTACATATTTACAGAATAAACCTTATTAATTACCCTAAAAAAATCCTTATCAGTTATTTTTTCTATTAATATTTTGTTTTTCTTAGTCGGTCTCCCTTCCCACTAGGGTTTGTCACATCAGCCTTATCTCAAAACAATATAAACAATATTTTCTGTAACTGCAGAAAACAACAATAAGAGAAAGAAAAAAGGTCTAAGCACATTTCCAAAACTGACATAAATATAAAAGAGCCACACAATGGTTTCTGAATCCTTTCCAGATCAGGAACATTAGAATTT